ACATAGCTGAGAACTCATGAGTACTTGTACGCCTTTCCGCGATAGAAAGTGTTCCCGACTATTCGCGAACCCGAATTTACCAAATCAGATGGGAGCTCGATGTTTCACGACTCTTCGCAGTTAGTGAAGAAAGGTGATTCAAGAATTCAAATAGGCAAAGAACCATATTGAACAGTCACTGTTCGTAATTATCAATGTATTAAGGCAGTCCTTATACAACTCTTACTCCTTATATTAACATTTTTTCATTTCTTCACGTCAATCAATCGTTTTTTGTATTAATTGATTATTCTATGTTAAGGCTTAGTTATGTATGTTTGTGGTCCATGCTGTTGCAGAGACATTGCTTGTGGAAAGCAAACAAGAAGGACAACTACTTCATCACTGCGTTGCAATAGATCAGTGATGAAACAAAAGACGCTGGTGGGGTAACTTCGTTGATGTGAACTTAACAGAGAAGTCCCCATGGGAGCAAAAGCGGGCATATTTATTGCTGCCCATCGGTCAACATTTCTCCACAATTCATTCAGCGTGATCGACATCGCTAAAGATAGATCGTTTCTAAAAACATCGCCAAACCACGAAAACAATCTAAGGGTGAAGAAATTGTAGAACAGAGGCGAGGGTTTAGTTAGCATGACAGCTTATATTATCTAGCCACCTGGTTTCCAATTGGGATCACAATCTAATTTAAAAAATGGTTAGGTTCTTGTTGGTTGTGGCGAATGCATAACGACGATGCTTCACTAAGCGTTAAACCTCCACTGATTTCAAGAGATATGAACTCGTACCTCTGTGGTACAGTTATATACCACAGAATAAGCTAGTCAGTAACTTTCGAAACGGCACTGTCTGGATTCTTCTACTCAGAGTACGGTAGAGAAAGCGCAGTTGTTTTTTTCTGCATCTTCAGGTTGTTACCCTTTATCCAGGAAACGTTTGCACCACTGCCAAGACAAACGCAACGTTTCCGTTATGGTTGTCCGCTATCACTTAACTCAGCGCAGAGTGATAAACAACATGAACTGCTTGGAGACCAATTTAGAGCTGAATAATTTTGAGATGGACGAATTACTAAACAGCTTCGCACAGCTTGGCTCATTAGTTTTGAGTGAAGCGATCAGCTTGGAATAATAGCTGGCAGCTCGGTTTTTCAAAGTTTTCTTTTAGCTGCTGTTTAAACATTGAGCCAATTAAACCATTAAACCAATTCTTTTTACTTCTGTTCAGCAAACACGAGGTGCTATTTTACTTCTTTATTTACGTACAAGCTGATGTTTCGGCGGATTTCGCCTTCCTCAGAGCCTGGAAAGGTCAAGTTGACTACAATTTACACGGCCAAACACTTCCATAATCAAACAGAGAAAATGCTGAACCAAAACTTCAAACGGATTGAACACGGAGTCTTTTCACACCCACCGCTTTCTATGAGTCTTCCACTAAATATGTCACATGGAGACCAATCGTACTGAGTTCACACGGAGTCGTATTGTGCCAATCTCATCAAAATAACAGGCTTATATACTGCCCAATATCACACGTGATAATGAGGCATTCTTCCCTGCGGTTCATTTTTGGATTCTTGGAATTAATCCAGAATGCCTCTAGAGTTTTGCGCGCTTGCGTTCTTGACTCCTGTGCGAGGATCGTGACACGAACTTCAATGCCTACCCTGTTATGTCTCTACGTCCTATGAGTACCTAGTGGAGTACTTGGCTTACGTTTGCCGACTAGGTGTTCTTTTATACGTACGCAGAGTGGTCTACCCGTTTCGCCAACGTATTCGTCCCTGCACGCTTTACAAGAGATCAGATAGACTGTACCCGAACTCATGCAGTCACCGCCTCTACCATTGGGGCAGATTATGCAATTTTGCGTTGCACATAGACGGTCGTATAGGCAGTTACGAACAAGCTGGCGTCTTAGATTACTCGATGGTATTTCGATTATCGTTACCGAATTCTCTAGACTGGCCCTTCTTAAACAGCGTTTTATAGTTGCACTTATTTCATTTGAAATAAAGCGCAGTATAAACGAAACCTTGTTGTCGCTAGAGTTATCGTTGGGGTACCTGTGGTCTACCCTACACCTATCTCGAGCTACAGTATCGTAGCCATTAAAAATGGCTATTTGCCGCGTCAAGTTCCGGGACTCCTCTCTCTGCTCTCTTCCTGTGCACACCCTGGTAGCTGTTCGAAACACGTTTCCCTTATCGTGTGAGAGGGATGAGGGGAGAGGTAATGAACCAAGATGTTTTTACTACTTGGCATTCGATGCCATTTCGTAATGTTGCTGTTTTCTGATGGGCTAATTTGAACGTTCAGAAATGGAAGCCAGTTTTTTTTGGTTTCTTTCGGGCGAATTTAATATGCTCTGATTATTCGTTCAGCAACTCGGAACATTTGTCAGTTTCTTCTTGTGCTGAACAAATGACCAAGCAGTCATCTATATATCTACAGCAGAGTAACGGACCGAGGTCGATTACTGCGTAATACGTCCCGGACGATCTGAAGATTGAACAGCTTAGGCACTCCTTTAAGAGTGTCATCAACTGCTGAATCGAGAAGCCATACATGTTTATTGCTCCTCCGTGTTGTATAAGGAGCTCGCGGATGGCTTGCATAGCGGAGCCATTCGACACGTTCGTATAGAGGGCAGTGACGTCGAAGGACTCCACCACGTACGCGCTGTTGGGTCGCGCGTTACGTAGACGATCCAGGAACATTTGGGTGTTCGTTAGATGAGCTGGAATGTACTTCAACAACTAAGTAAGTATTAGGGTTATTAACCACGTTATTCAATCCGTTGTCCCGTCCACGCAGCTAATGATAGGTCTAACCTTAAATAACGATGGATCGGTAGACACGAGATCATCGCTGGATACTAACTTATGGGTTTTGATAAGTAAGTACAGGACGGGACATGTTGGTAAGTCAATTTTGAGATGAGAGATAACTGATGGATTTATCTCAGCCGCTCTTGCCACTTTAACCCATTCGTTGTTTAACTTTCGGTATTGACTTTTAGAGGACCAATAAGGACCGATGTCTTTATTCTAATGAACTCATTTTGTTCCACTTCATATCATATGCTACAGCTTTACAGCTTTTGATGTATAGAAGATACTGTAACAGCTGCTTGGACAACAATACTGATCACTCGAAAATTTTTCTTCTCATGACTTCATTTGCTTTCTATCCAAAAGCCCAGTTGAATAAAGAATATCAGCGAGGGTCTTGCATAAAATTTATTCATGGCCATTAATCGATGTTTAGGTTTTTTACAAATTCACCATATTTCAAGTTTATTCATGACTATTAATAAAGTGACATCGTTTTGTGCATCTGACATGAGCCAACTTTCCCTTTTCGATTTGGCCTTACATTGTTCAACTCAAAAAAAAAAACCTAGACGTTAAACATTGAAATTTCGTAAAATCCCTGAATAATGTAATAAGTCACTGGAAAACCGGCATAACAGTACAGGTCAGAGTTTCTATGAACGAACATAAAGCAAGTACGGTTCACGCATCATCAGACAGACTTATAGTTCTTGAGTAGTTTCTTCTCGTCGACAATCAAACTGTGGTCGATTTCCTGAGCCTCTTCCATCCAACGATCGGCAATATTTCTCATCGCAATCGAAAGGTAGCTGAGACGATAAAATAAGAGGCTGCCTATTCTCTGTTTATTTACCAGTTTTATAGATTTGGCCCTTGTCAATAATTTGGAATGGTGGAACCCTTATATATGTAAGCTTGATAAAGGATAAAGAAAATAGCGCTCGGCGCTAATCAATTTCTTACGGATTTACCATGCATTTGACTAAATCAAGAATTTCAGAGTTGATTGCGTGCACATTTAGACTAATACAGTGCCTTGCGGAGGGCTACCGATGTATCTTTTTATCCTTCAACACAAATCTGATGGTAATTTATCTATCCTAAAAGCTGTAATCAGAAGGTGGTCAAGCAGATCCTTAGTTCGCCTTTTCGCATTAGGAGCCATCCCGGTGCATTCTGCTCGCTCATACGGAGCGAGGAACACTACATTTTTTTTTCATGGTCGTCGTAAAAAAAAAGTATGATGGTCGAATCAATCGTCTTCATGCGCTTAACACATTTTAAAACATTACCTGAACGTATCCTTTCTCCGTTCCTAATTTTTGTGTGTCATTGCAGGTCTGCACTTGGATTTGCTCTCACTTTCGAGATATTAAAACATCATACAGCGCGTTCTACAAGTCAAACAGATTGTGCCTGTTCCGTAATCATGGTGTTGAAAAGAAAGTCACGAAAAGCGCTTTTTTCTTTCTACAATGTAGCCTGTGTGACCATCCTAAGTTGCTCATTTCTTCCCGCTCGCTTCTAGACTAAAGTGCTTCATGTTGTAACAGAAATATTCCTGACTAAATAGAACATGGCTGAGAGAAAGTAAAAGCAAGGGCCTCAATGGTGGAACAGGTAACGGTTGGTCTGGCGATAAATCCTGATGTCATGTAGCCTTTCCTTTTGTGTAGTAGCTTCCTTCCTTCGTTTCTTATTGAATAAATACCTTAAAATCTAAGAAAAAAGTGGGAAGTTATGCGAGGAAGTCGGTGAGGGTTGGGGCTAGATTCCTCAGAGGTATAAGTCCAGTGCTCTCAGAAGAGGGTGGTGTAATCAATCATCGAAGGAATGACATGCCGGAATTCGAAGGAGAGAAGTGATGGAATTGCATAATCATCCTCACTGTTATGTGAAAAGGCCATAGTTGAGGTCCTTATTTACCATCTTTAATGCTTCTTTCGATATAGTATTACTAAAACTAAACCATCTTCGCCACTTAATTGGCAAATTCTTCACCGACATGGCAGCTGCTCTTTCCTATTTGTGTAGCTTCAACCAGTATTATTGTGCTTTTCTCATTAAAATTTACTATGTTTCCTCCGCATCTTTGGAAAATCGAAGTGCCCTGGTGATCTTCACACTTCCTTGTTGAGTAAATTTTTCAAAGGCGAACTTATCTTCGAAGCTTTCGAACTTTGGGCCATAACAGTGCTTGGTAAAAGTGTTGAGTAAGATGTTTCTTCGCTCTTTTAGTTTTCGGTCTCTGTGTGTCGAGTTTGTCATAATTTTATATCGAAACGTATGCGGAGAAAATTGTCGAAGCCGGTACACATTCCTTAAACCTTAAGCATCCATTTCGTATCGTTAGTTGTTTACAGGATTCAGTGCTAATGGCCAAAATCGTGTTAATGAAACAGCCAATGCAGCGGACTCTTTTGTTATAGGATGTTCCCAAAACAGTTCGTCTTAAGTGCGATGGACGACGTTAAAGGGCTTGCCTATTTTCGTCTCTAAAATCGGTCATCTAACGTGGTAAGTAATTTTAGTAGCCGTCATCACCAGGAACTCAATAAAAGACTCTCATGCTAGCGCTCAAAGCGGTAGAGACCTTCTGGGGTGACACGAATGGGATGCGCTACCTTTGTTTGTGAGCGGCATCAATGTAGAAGCATGCTATGCCCGTGAGCAACTTCCCGTTATCTCCGAGAATACCGCGTAGTGCATTTTTAGGGTGTCGGAGACTCCAAACCATCCCAACTATCACCTTTGTGCTTTCAAGCCAATTGATCGCAACACCCTCATATGATAGAACAACTGTGAAAAAATGAAAGCGATATGTGCAAAAACCTAACAAGAACGAAAAATGTCTATTTTTGCCGAGAGAGAAATTTACCTTGCTGGAATATCTCCTAAATTCAGTGACATTTGATGTAGAACGAATAGGCCATCTTTGCCGAGTAGCCTGAAGAATTGTTCAGTGGATAGTCGACCGGTTTGAGTACTCGGATCAGTGGCCAAATAGTCAGTTATGACACGACGAGCCTTAAATCCGTATATCTTTCCTGTCACCTTCGTTTGAAAAGTTCAAAACAGCATGAATGAGAAGGGAACTGGGAACAATGCCAGTTACAACCACAATGATGCTGAGATGCTTACAAAAAAAAAAGCCAAAGCAAGGGCCTCTGTGGTGCAATGGGTGACTTGTGAGCTACCTGAGAAGGTAAACACGCGTTCGAATCTGGACCGGGATCCGAGTTTTACAAACAACTCAGCATCATTGTGGTTTTATTTCACATAATCTCCAGCATGGAAAAAACTAATGGGAAGTAATAAAAAAATGTCACTTACTACACGAAACTTTGAGATAAATGCTTTACAGCTCAAACATCAATTAAGAATTCCAGGTTGTCTTTCAACAGGCGTTAGAAGAATTTCTGTAGACTCAAAAAACAAGCGCATTTATAATTGGCGGTACATTAATACTTTTTTGGGTCCACTTCCTTCTGTAAAGGGTGAAGGATAAAGTTCTCGGCGTTGATGAATCCCCGAGTGATACGCCATGCATTCGACCTCATTAAGCATCGTTTGGAGGTGAATGAATGCATATCTGGCCTATGCAATGACTAGCGGTGGTCTATCGAGCCGGTGCTGCTATCCTCCCAGACGTCTGCTACCAATTTGGCGACCTCGGAGGGATGGAAGGCTTGGTGCACCATGGGCGCAGAGATCAATTCCACGTGTGTGTTGCAGTGTGCCTCCGACCACTGCGCCACACAGGCTTCCTTCTATAATACTGCTAAACACTCCAATGAGAGAAAATCACCAAAAGATCATTTTTCAAAGTATGCATTTTTATCAATGTTATCGGAATAGTCGAATGAGAAAATGCTTAGGATATATTTGATAACCTTTGTGCTGACACAGATGCTTCCAATCCAATAAATTGAGTTCGATGTGGAAACAATTGCTACGAAAAGCAACCAGAACCACAGGAAGATGAACAGTTTTTCGTAGTAGATGTTCAGCGTCAAAACGCACAGTACCGTGTCAAGCTGAAAACTAACGTAAAAGGAAAGTACTACTCATATTTTACACACATTGATTACGACTGAACTTGAACACTTGCTGGACGTCGTCGATTGAAATCACAATGAGTGATACGCGGAAAATGTCCGGTTACCTAAACCAAAAAACTTAAAGCAATTGATATCATGACGCAAAAAACATCAACATCACAGAATTTTGATGGATAACCAATTACGGTGATGTGGTCATGAGGTTGGCTTTGTTAATGACCTCCCAAAAAGATCGACGCAAAAAAAGTAAGCGTAATGTGGTGAGGAATGGTGCAGCTTTGCCCGTCCTGAATTTCTAAAAACTGGGTAATAAGGGAAATGGTTCGTTTAGCTCATAGTCTGTTTTTCTACTGTGGATTTACAAAAGTCAATATGATTCGTTGCTTTCACAGTGAAAAGATAAAAGAGATAGAACATTCGGTGCTGATCTGATCCCCTGAGGGATGCGTTATGCATTTGACTCCATTCCTACCGCCGAAAAGGTGGTTGGATGTTTATCTGGCTTGTAAAATGAGTTGCAGAGGCCTACTGTGTATCAAATCAGTGTTTTTGTTTTTTAAGACAGGGCTCATACCAATTTTCCTAGCTTAGAGGAATGGGGGCTTGCTTTCAGCTAGGTTCGTAATTGGACCGTGCACCGATTCATTATGTATTGGACGGCACATCTAACCACTGCACCTTATATGCTTTTACAGATCTGGTGCCAACTATACATCCATTTCCAAGATCGACTCCCTATTAATATAGGCTTTGAAAAGTAATTCGTCGTTTTGTTGAAAAGGATATACAATGTTGTTACCATATATCCATCCCAAGAGATGACTATTCAGCGGATTTCGTCTTCCTCATAGATTAGGAGGGTTAAGTTAACTGCAGTTGTTTCAATATCTAATAGAAGGCTCGCATGTGCTCGTCAAGAAAATGGTGCATTATACACATTCACTCGGGATGCTTTTTTTATAGAAAGCTATTGTTGTTGATATGACTATCCGTTGATAATAATTTGTTTTTCTACGGATAATCCACTCTGCCTCCCAACGGTTTACCGCCTCATCGTGGCTGGGAGGTGTTCCTGGGTGTTGGACTGCGATGTACAGCGGAGGATTCATCCTATAGCAGGGTCTTCCAAGCTGAGAAGGAGTCCGACGTTTCCATCAGGAAGCCTAGCTAAGAGTAAACCAATGCCAGGAACCACCACCGTTCTGGTATCAAAGTCGCATGGTGGTAAATCTTCCTCTGATCCACAAGGGTTGCGAGTGCATGTGGTCGTGAAGATTTGGGACAGACTTTGGCCAGGCCGACCTGGGGACGCTAGGGAACCATAATGACTTAACCAGCAAATCCCCGAAAAATGGAGATTATGCTGCAGGCCGTTCAAGTATCAAGTAAATAATCCACCCTGCAGTAGAGAGTCGAATGTGCTCTCCTCGAGAGATGTGCTGAGGAAGATCCAACTCGATACGAAGACAGAGACGCTATATCGAGAAGACGATCTGTAGACCATCGAATCGGACCAACGGCTCTGACGAAGACGTCGAAACGCAACCGAATAAAGGTATTTATCAACTTCGTGTAAGTTTAACAATTTAAGCACATGGTAATTATCTTACCACTGAGATTAAAAGACGGTCAACATTTTTCTAAAAAAAATTCAAAGCCTATTCCTTATGCAATTAAGTGACCAAAAAATAACTGAAAAAAGAGGGTGAAGAGAGATAGTTCGAATAAAGAACTTGAGCCTCACCAACAAATGGCTACTACAATACCTGCCAATCGTCTCCACGAATCAAATCGTGAACAAGTGATGGTCCCCAAAGTGTGTAAAGCGGCGATTGCAGCAATGAATTCAACCAAAACCACTACAAAAGTTGCCGTAGTAATTGAGCCATGCACAACTTGTGCGACGGTAGTACCTGGATCCATGCGTTTAACGATTGTATTACCGTGGAAATGGTATAGTAGAGTGCCATATCCTGACTGCCTTTATTTCTTGCCAGCCTCAAGCCATCCCATACATAAGCAGACGCTCGTCCCTCAAAGGCAGCTATCCTTTCTGGAACAGGTTCACCAGCTAGAAACTCGATAGCTCGTTATACGGCAACCTACATGCTATTGTACCAATTTTATAATGCTTATGCTTAGAACTGCACTTTTCTACAGCTTTTGCTTTATAGAGCAACTGTATGGGAACTTCCTCCTAACGGTTTACCGCCTCATCGTGGCAGGTGATCCTGGGTGTCGGACTGCGATATACAGCAGAGGGATTCGTCTCCCCGGCAGGGTCTCTCAACCTGAGAAGGAATCCGGCGTTTCCATCAGGAAGCCTAGCTAAGAGTAAACCAATACCAGGATCCATCACCGTCTTGGTATCAAAGTCGCATGGTGACAAATCTCCCTCTGATCCACAAGGGCTGCGACTGCCTGTCGTCGTGACGACCTGGGGCAGACTTTGGCCAGGCTGTCCTCGGGATTCTAGGGAACCATAGTGGCTTAACCAGCAAATCACCAAAAAATGGTGACTATGCTGGGGCCTGCGCAACTAGTGGTGACGGACCGTTCAAGTATCAAGTACCAAATAAGTATGGGAACTTATAAATCCTTACGTTTTTAGTTCTAAGTGTATTCAAGAATTCGTCAGCTTCATGGAATCTCTAGGAAATGCGTGATAAACAACAAATTTTCATGGAACCTAACTAAATTCAACAATGATTTCTGAAATAAATAATGAAGGTACTATTTGATTTGGATAATACAGGCTTTTATAGAGGTGATGAAACCAGCCGAATACCAACATTAGGTGGTTTACGAGTTATGGTTGGATTTTAATAAAGCAGTGAGCTATAATCTACTCCATTGAAGTTATTCACCTTTAAAAGTCGTCTCGTTTGATTTTACAATATTCCAGCATCCATCTACATATTGAATAGCACCGGCTAGATCATATCCTGTAATTATAGTTGTTATTTTTCTCATTTTATCTCTTTTTATTTGGGCCGACTTCACGTCTACAGTGCAGATCTCGGCACTTTTCACATCCAATTCCTTTCCTCGCATCCATTATCCACGAAGATTTTCCAAGTTTTTACGTGTGGGTTGGGTTGCTGCTTGAAGATTTTCATTTCATCTTGATTATCGTAGAGTGCTGGTCGAGCTATTCTCCCTGGTGTGCTGAGATAGCTGGGCTGAAGCGTTCCCAGTTGGATCGCAGAGACAGAATTTTTTCCCGGGGAAGTCCGGTACCAATTTCCAGACCCCAGAGCGTGAGAGGCTTAGTTGGCCCTGAACGAAATCGAGCTAGCATTATGCTTGTGATGGCGGACATCACTACCGCTGTGCTACCCTCCCCATAATTGCAACACCAATTTATAAGACCTTCATATATTTACCATAGCCCCTATGTTATACATTCTTTTCAGGAAATCATAACTAACATTCGTATAAGTGAAAAGCAAAAAAAAAAACGAAGTGATATGATACCGCTTATAGCAATCAGAGATTTCCATACGAACCGTGGCATGTAGAAGAGGAACGCCTGTACGGCCAATATGTACGGCACCTCAATGTTGTTGGAGTTATTACGGAATGAAGTGTAATATTTCGTCGTGTTTAAAATAAAAAAGAATAAAGCTCTCCGCGCTGGTTAATCCTTGAATGATTAGCTGTGCATTCAAGTTCATTAAGAATTATTGCAGGAGATTGAATGCATATCTGGCGTTTACAACGAGTTACGGTGGCCTAGCGATGTATCAAGCCAGTGCTGCTACCCTCTCAAATGTGTCTTGTACCAAATGCTGCTGCAGTCCTAGACCAGTTTGGCGCACTGGAAGAATGGAAAGTTTGGTGAGCTTGTAGCGCAGGATTGAACCAACGATCGCGTGTACATTACAGGGCACCTCTAGTCACTGCACTATGTGCACCCTTTGTTATGTTTATATAAGTAAATATTAGCTGGTTCGCGAATTAATGTCGGGTTTTTAATTTCATCCTTGTTCCATATGCTTTGTAAATACTTCTTTAAAAACCGACTTTTATTCAACGTCGGCACAAGTAATCAATACACCTTCTTGTGTTACTGAGTTGACACGAAGCTGACATGAAATATTTAGACGGCTAACATTTCGGCATCTTCTTTTTCATCAGACCCGCATTGATCCCAGCCGATGGTCGACTGCTGGTCGTCTTTGCGATGTGGGTGTTCGCTGTCGCATCATGTATAACTTAGCGAAGTAATGCACCGATCGAATGAAGACTGTCACTCTACGGTACTCTTTTATACGGGACGGATGTTGGTTGATTTCTGCCAGCTAAAGTCACCTCATTAACAAAACAAGGCTTTGGTGATTTGTGCCGAAGTTAAATGAAGGTCAGTTTTCAGAGATGTATTACTACGCTGTGTGCCAGCTATACCGCTGACTGCTGCAGGACGCACTGCGGGCCAAACAGCAAATCACGTAGGGCAGGCAATATGGAGGGATGGAACAATCCATGAACCGTATGACACTAAGAAAATGATTATATTCGAAACTTCCAAATACATATCTGTGTTGAGCTTTTCAATAAAGCTGCACAGGTGGAGCAGTGACGGCATAAACAGTAGAGTTAAAATACTGGCTAACAATGCAAAGATTGTAAATCTGTATATCCTGTGATCCTGAGTGTCCACATCAATTTTCTCTTGTGATTTCGATCTTCGAGGTACCATCAAGCTGGAGTATAGTATGAAATTAAAGCCAGGTGATCTTTTTCAGCTTTTGCAAGAAACGTCACTGGAGAGGTCGTTAACGGATTCTGCATCAATCTGTCTCACTCCCTGCCTGCCTAGCATGTCAAGAATAATTGCTCCTCAATGGTTTCCCATTCAACATTCGACATATTCTTACGCCGGTGAAGACCATAAATCTCTGGTTACGACACAGCCCTAATTTTCTTTTTTATTCGAAACTAAGCATCTAAGAAACGTAACAGCTATCTCCATGAGCGCATTTATTCCGCTTTTCACGTGCCGTTTGCTGGAACGCAAAGTAGATAAACGATGAGAAACCACCAAGACCATGTTGTTCTAAAAAAAATTAATCTTACTACCATTGAACTTAAGGAGTTATTTAGCCCTTGAGCAGACATAGCGTTTTCAATTACAAGATTTATTCAATACTGGCTAACGTTTCGCCGGTTTCGTCTTCTTCAGAGTCTTGAAAGCCCGGTTTCTAAACAGTCTACTGTGGCTGACACTTTCTTAGCCTCAGCAGAAAAAGCTTAGCACCTAAATTTTTGTTGAACTTAAGCCAGGCACGTTCACCGCCCATGTAAGACTCCGTGTACCTGGTATCCGTCAAACGAGTGGAAGACTTACAAACAACAAAACGGTGAATATATCTTTCTACTTCTGTTCAGCAAACACGAGGTGCTATTTTATTTCTTTATTAACGCACAAGCTGACGTTTCGGCGGACTTCGCCTCCCTCAGAGCCTGGAAGGGTCAAGCTGACAGTAATCCATTCAGCCAAACACCTCCATAACCAAACGGAGAAAACGCTAAGCCAAGATTTCATTCACATTTAGCATAGCTCTGCACACACGCTTCCTATGAGTCTTCCACTAAGTATGACGCGTGAAGACCGACCGCACCAAATTCACATGGAAGCGTAATGTGCTCCTCCCATCAGAATAACAGGTTTATATACTGTCCAATATCACGCGTGATAACGAGGCATTCCTCTCTGCGGTTCATTTTCGGATTCTTGGAATTTATCCAGAATGCCTCTAGAGTTTTGCACGCTTGCGTTCTTGACTCCTGTGCGAGGATCGTGACACGAGCTTCAATGCCTACCCTGTTATGTCTCTACGTCCTATGCGTGCCTAGTGGAGTGCTTGGCTTGCGTTTGCCGACTAGGTGTTCTTTTATACGTACGCAGAGTGGTCTACCCGTTTCGCCAACGTATTCGTCCTCGCACACTTTACAAGAGATCAGATAGGCCGAACTCATGCAGTCACCGTCTCTACCATTGGGGCAAATTATGCAATTTTGCGTTGCACATAGACGGTCGTATAGGCGGTTGCGAACTAGCTGGCGTCTTAGATTACTCGGTGGTATTTCGATTATCGTTACCGAATTCTCTAGACTGGCCCTTCCTAAACAGAGTTTTATAGTTGCACTTACTTTATTCGAAATAAAGGCAGTATAAACGGGACCTTGTTGTCGCTAGAGTTATCGTTGGGGTACCTGTGGTTTCCTCTAAGCCTATCTCGAGCTACGGTTTCGTAGCCATGAAAAATGGCTATTTGCCGCGCCAAGTTCCGGGACTCCTCTCTCTGTTGCCTTCCTGTGCACACGCTGGTAGCTGTTCGATACATGTTTCTCACAAGCGCCCTTTTCGTGTGAGAGGGATGAGAGGAGAGGTAATGAACTAGGATGTTTTTACTACTTGGCTTTGCGTACTACTCTTTTTTTTCTAAAACGGTAAATTTTTAAAAGGGGTTGTTTACTATGCGACTGAAATTTACTTCAGGCGGCTAATATTTACTTATATACTTCTTCGAAATCGAAAGGCGAAATCCGCCGAAACGTCAGCTTAATCGTGAACAAAGAATAGTAACACCTCGCGTTTGCTCAACAAAAATACGAAGAAAATAACAGTGGAGAGTTCAGTAAGAAGTCAGACCTGCGAATTTATACGTTTCTACTGAAACGAGTCGCGTGAAGGTGCCTTGTGCAATCGTAGTGCCGCTTATCCGTGCACGGAGATCCTTTATGACTTATACAACAAAAACAACCAAAACTGAATCAGCTCACAATCATTGTCTCCAGAACGAGAGATGTTCCACAAAGCGATGGCTACCAACTCGCCAAAAAAAGTTCGACACTCTTAACCTTTTTTTTACTGCCTACTCTTTTTAATGCAGGGTATATTGCGAAATATAACCTCTATGATGCTGAGATATTTGCAAAACTCCGGAGAAAAAAAAACTAATGCCTCAGCTTAACTGGGTTCATTGCCGATTTTGGCTCCCCAGATCATTCCCACTGAGGGGTGATTGCTGATTTCAGTGATCGATAGAACTAGTTGAGAGAAAGGCTAAACGAAAGACCTGCAAGTCGTGGTGGTGAACGCGTTAGCTCCCGGAAAGGGCAATAGCGCGTTCGTTTCACACCGCAGGCACCTGCGTTCGGAGTTTTGCAACTATCTCAGCATCATGAAATTCGATACTTATCTAGAATATTCTATTGTAAACTGGAGAAAATCGTCGACCAGCATGGTCATATTTCATCATTACTGGATCACCGTCAAGACATCATTCTTATAGCACAAATCAATTGATTGAGCAAAAATCCGACTGCTCCTATGGAGGAATGGTCTGTTTGCGAGCCCAAGGAGACGATGTACAAAAGAAACGGTTCTGTTATTGTTGCGACATTAATGTTTTACAGAACGAACATCGCAGAATGGTTTTGCTATGACTGTCTGGGTTGGGATTTAAACTTCTAGGTAAGACTCCTCTGTGAGAATAACCTACCGACTAGGACAGCTAGCAAGACCAACTATTATAGAAACTAAGGAAGGAAGGAAACAACAACCAGATCCACGCAAACCTGTTCGACTGACTACAATTCCAACTCTACCTACTTTAACGTAGTTTTCGAATATTTACATGTTACAATAGTTACATGAAAGAGCGACCAACAACAATTGCCCTTACCCATGTGTTTCTTAAGAGCGCAACTAAAAGTGACTAAGGAATCGGAGGAATTTTTTTAAAAGGAGTGAATAAATAGTAAAGCGTAGTAAAACACGGCTGAAGGAAAGACAAAACCAAGGAGCCGCATGTTGTAGAGGCGAACGCGTTTGCTCTCGGAAAGGGTAATAACAGGTTCAAGTCTCGATGTAGATACTGAGTTTTGCAAATATCTCAGCATCATTGTGCTTGAATAAATAATATTTCTTCTATATGGCAAAATAAAATTGGCAATTAAACTCATAAAAAATAAACCACTAATGACTAAGTATGAAAGCAATGGATGTTGGAAGGTTAACTCACCCTGAATAAAAATATCTGACTTACTCACCCACTGATAATAATTGATGGGAACTTTTCGTCGTTGTGCGTCCAGAAAAGGAAGAGATTCGTTCAGCGAAACAAAATACGTGCCGTGCACATAGCAGTATTGGTTGACAAAATCAGACCTGGGACAAAATCGGAAAATTATGGGCAAAAAACGAAAATCTGAAGAACAGGAGCAAAGGCATTATCTGGAGGGATCACCTCCATCCTTAAAACGTAATTTTTCTTCTTTTTTTCCAATACATTTTTTCAAATCTTATTGAATCTGACTTGTAAGAAGAAAAGAAATTTTGTGTTTCAACAGTATCTCGCAATCATTCTTCGTTCTTATCGGACATCAGTGGCTTATCATATCTGAAAATCTCACACATTACCGGACAACAACTCAGTTTATTCCGCCTTTTAGATCTTTGACATCTTTTGCACTGAGTGAGGTTACTGCTTCTATGAATCTTATATTCATCTGAAATATTAAGGAGACGACTTCGTTTAGCACTTTTTGGACAGAACTCCTGTTTTTCTACCGATTTGCATTTCGCTGGTGATATCCAAATAAGGGCGAGAAGCAAAAAAAAATCAGAAAAAAGGTCTTGCACAAGTTCGAACTTTATCGTAAAGCCTTGGAAATCGGTGTAACATTACATTTTGTTGCAAAACCTTAAGTGGAACGCTTACGTTGTTAAATGAAAGCTTTATTTCAGAATTTCTGTGATGCAAACCAACTCTGTGAAAATGAAAAGATCATGATGTACTCATATTTCAGTTCACGATTGAAGGTGTTAATCGGAGCAAACCTCTGCAGAATGGCTCGAAAGCCTTTGTAAAAATCAATCGTTAACGAAACTAGGATGTTTCTTTTTTTTCCAACAGAACCTCTCACTTAACTTGATCGGTAAGTAAGCAATATCGTTAACGGTTGACAAACTCATTCAAAATTGGTAAGAGCTTTCAACTCGATGACGTAAGGGTGGTATCATGATCATCATAGCCCCATCGAATCGGATCAAGTCTATCCATTGTGGATGAAACTACTTAGAGTAACGCCTTTTTTTCAGGTTCAAATCAAATGGTATCAAAACGAATTGCGCCGATACGTGTGGATCCGAACGCTGTGTAGTGGAGTACCATCATTCAGCAGTGTAGTTTTGCACAAGACCATTGTTGATCAGTTGCCATGCTGGTTACTTGGGATGATTCTAGTTCACAGTCGGCTTTTAAAATTTTGTCCGCTATATTCCAACTGCGAGCACGTGTAGTGCAGTGGTTGGAGTCGCCCCGCAATACACGTAGGATCTATCCCCACGTCCTAGACCCTCCAAGCTCTCCATCCCTACGGAGTCAGCAAATCGGTACCAACTTGTCTGTGAGGATAGAAGCACTGGATCGGTACATCGGTAGACCATCCCGAGTCATTGCAAATGCCGGATATGAATTAAATCACCTCCAGCGGTATTTAATGAAGACGAATGCATGTCGCATCTTGCAAGGATAGATCAACGCCCAGAGCTTTATCCTTATGCTTTATCCTTTCATATCCCAACTAGGATAAATGAGAATACTACAAAATAAATTGTTGTGCAAATGATGGATCTCAAGTGGATGAATCTCAATAAGTAGATGAAATGGTGAATAATAGATAAAACACCGTTCTACGCCAAAGTGGATTTGCTGGTGATGTTGCTCCACTCATACTATATTTTAATCCACTCTATTCGATTCGATTCGACTTCGGAGAACACTGAGTTGCCGCGTTTTCCAAATATGCGAAGAGCTCTCGTCCCGATACAATGTCATACTGAAACTCCTATTTTCTCAGAGTTCTGTCAGAAATAATAAATATTACTTTAAAGCATTATGTTTTCGTTGACAAAATAGCATATTGAGACCATTGTTTCAAACCTAATAAACTGAGTAGAGGCTTAACAGATCGTATTTGAGAAATTTATCTATCTGCCTGCACCTTCTTTCCGCTTCAAGCACTGCTTTCAGTATCAAGTGGTGTGAAAATCCTCAGCAATCATTACAACTGAAAAAACGTCTCCAAAAAATTTTTGCCTTAAGAGGCCATTTCTCCTAGCATCTTGAGCAATATGGTTGAGAAAGATGTGAATTTTCTAACGGCTTTCAATTCGGTCAGTGCAGTTTAACGAGGAGGCTTAGCGCCTACTGTTCCCCATTTAAACTGCCGAAGTCTACTTTAAAGCCGCATATGTGTTGCAGTTGCAATAAAAACCTATGAGGTGACGGTAACTTCCAAGTAACACAAAATATTCTATATTACGCACTCTTCTAAGCGGTTCGCATTCTTATCGTTTGTTACGATGTATATAGTGAACAATGGAGTTTTGTGTTAGTCACTCTTCTTACCAGAGTATCAAGTGTTAGCCTAACGAATAGGATTTTGATCCTTATATTATCTGTGTTTCGGAATTTTGAATGACTAGTTTCAATCGCACCAATCAGCGATCAGATTATCGAGGAATACCACCTATTTGGTAATGTAGCGTCATTTTTTCTCTAGGAAATTCTTTACACAGAAAAGACGCTAACGACTAATTTATTGGATTGTTAAGCTAGCAGGAGGTGGGTATAAAGTCCTATTCAGTAAAAGTTTCGACGTCAACACCTTTTTCAGCGTTGGAGTGACTCAAATCGGTTGTTCACAGTCGTTCGAATCGTCTGGAGTGGAACGCTGCTCGAATCAAAGCTGTGCTTTATGCAGAATGATTGTTGGTTTATTGCCACTCAATGCTCGGGTTGCCCAGACTTTGGCCGAATAAAACTTTGCACCAATCTCTTGTTAGCTTAATAATCCAAGAAAGCATGGGTCGTCTATACCGATGTTAAATAAAAATCGGTTGGTTAGAAGCATTTTCACTAACCATTGTTTAGTGAACTGAGCCGGGGTCCAACATGTGATTGGATCCCCCATAAAGTGCGACGATAGCAGCAACACCGACGACAAGGCTAACAGACATACCGTAATCCGAGAGTTGAGTCTATCCGCCTGAATCGGATCGGTAACGATCTGTGTTAAAGTTTAGATCCTAGTTTCTAGCAAAATCTCTTCCTTTTTTACTGCTAAAGTTTTTTTTTGTTATTTCCAATTGTTCCTCTAATGGCTTTCTGCTGTAAATACTAAAGCAATACCAGATGAGAAATCTTCCCGAGAAGTCTCAGTTCTTTCCTTCAAACTTTCACATGTTTCCATTTCACTAATAAATTCCACTAATTGGTGATCAAATGGGCGCGTTTGGTGTAATGGTTACAGCTACCCTGCAATACACGTGGGTCGTTGGTTTGATTCCTTGCACCCCTGGCTAGCCACTTCTTCCATCCTTCCAAGGTCAGCAAATTGGTACCGGATTTGTACGTGATAAAAAATTGCTAGATCTGTCGGCTACTGTAGACCATTCTCTAGCCAACATGTGTATTCAATCACCTCTGCGATCCTTGATGGACTCCAGTGCATTGCTCACTCAAAAAGATTGACAAGCGCTTAACGCTTTATGTTTTAATGATTTCCCAAGTTTTTCATGCTGTAAAAGGATGAGCTTCTTACAATACCTTATGAATAATTCCGGTTCCATTGTGGTCAAGTGAGATGCGTTTTCTACAAGAGTCTTTGGTGCCAGTTGCGCTATGCGGGAGGATTGCGTAGTGCATAGCACGAGATATGTAGTAGATTGTTTGCTGACACGGTCGTCTACACAATGCTTATCGAGAGGAAGAGCAACATCGCCCGGTTTCGTCATAAACACCTCTGCCCTCACCTACCTCCGTTCATTACGTAATGCTATTCACACGACAGTCGAATTTATAAACTCAAAGATAAGATCTCTATTTAGGATATCCTGGTTACTGCTATGATTTCTAATGCAAGATAAGTTAAAATAAAAGCATCACGAAAATCGTTTCTTAAAAACTACATTCGAACCGGGTGAAATCAACTTACAAAGTCTCCTTTAGGCTGCTTGAAGACCTTAGCTACAAGAACGCTCACCGAATTAATAGCGCCAACCTGAGAGCTCATCCTAAAATCGGAGATATTACGAAGCTAACGAAAGGAGACCTTCGTTCAAGTCTTCCTCTATGAAGAACATGTTTGAAAAAACTTGTAATATTAGCATTATTAGGGATCAATTCTAAACAACGAGTTGGTTAGGAGGCAAAATATTTTCCATAAGAAACACTCCTTATCAAGACATTTGAGAAAAATGCAGAATAAGGACATATTTTGTGGATTCCGGCGAAACATGTCAATGACACTGCTTAAAGATTTTGACTTGGTTTAAACATCGATGCGAGGAAATTTTCGACGTTTGAAATTTTCTGTAGTTCTGAAACGTTGCTTTGTTGTTAAAGGAAAGACATCATGGTTACATTCACAAGAATATTGGAATCTCTTGGTGAAAAATCAGTGAAACTGTTTCAAATAAAAATAAAACCAATTACTGTTAGTAATGACAAGAAAATCGATAACCAAAAGCGAAACATCAGTAGGGAAAGGCTTTGCGCCTCTACTTCTACCGTAGTACAAGCAACACTATTCCTACTTCTAAGATATGGGTTACTATTATTGCGAGGGGAATATTTCCTGCAATGTTAAATGAAACAAGTTCTTTGACAAGCTTATCTGAGGCTGATGAACAATCTTTATTCCAATTTTAATTTATTATTTACTGCCTGCTTTTCTAATAGCAGGATATAATGCGAAATATAACTTCAGTGATGCTGAGATATTTGCAAAACTCCGGACCCTAGATGTCTGCGGTGGAGAACGAACGAGCTATTGTCCTTTCCGAAGAGCAACGCATTCACCACCACACTATGCAGGTCCTTCGCTTCGCCTGTCTCTCAGCTAGTTCTATCGATTTCTGCCATCAGCAATCCCCGTCAGGGGGATTGCTAAAAAGAGTAGGCAGTAAATAATAAGTTAAAATTGTGACTATAATTACAGCCCCAGCTTAACTGGTTTCGTTGCCGATTTGTGCTGCCCAGATCAATCCCGCTGATGGGTGATTGCTGATGGCAGAAATCGATAAAACTAGCTAAGAGACAGGTGAAACGAAGGACACGCATGGTGTGGTGGTGAACGCGTTACTCCACGGAAACGATGATAACGCGTTCGTTCCCCACCGCAGACACCTACGGTCTGGAGTTTTGAAAATATCTCAGCATCATTGAAATGTTTATTCGGCTAACGTTTCGACGTCGTCGTCTTCATCAGAGCCGTTGGACTATCAACTCGAATCCATCGGCTCTAATGAAGACGGAGAAGTCGAGACGTTGGGCGAATCAGGATTATTTATCAACCTCCTGTAACTTTATCAACGAAAGAATACGTATTGATTAGTCACAAAGTAAAGTCGGTTTGAAATAAAATAAGTTCAATGTGATAAAGCGAATAAACCAGAGTTATTTTACAAATGGCCAGTGAACAAAGTCCAGAAAAACAATTAAGCCGGAAAGCACTGGATACTGTTCAAGAGATCAAGCAACGGATTTCATTTCGTAAGTGGAATTTATCTATTTTTCTGACGACTTAGAAGTGAAAATACGTGACCAGCACAGTGGTCATCTTCAAACTATTTCGGAATTATTCGTTTTTTTCTGAATCATATGACATTTTTTCTACAAAATAGACTTTTTTGAAAAAAAATCGAATTAACATTTTTCTGATGTGACGAGGTAGTGACACTCACGGCTACTGAGAGTTAAGGAAAGCTGGACGTGACGCATCGGCAACATCAAGGAAAGCAAGTTGTGGGAGTGATTAGATTATGGTGACTTAATGACAGTGCCTGAGGCTCGAAAGGACATTCACTGAGTTCTCTAAAGCTTAGACTACGTACAGACGTGGGTTTGTTAGCCCTCGTTTTCCGATGACCTGCTAGTTCTTCTCGGCTCTTTTCCTTGACTTTTGCTCCGTACAAATTACTAACTGAGACAACTGTTGTTTTCACTGCATTACTTGTTGTTGATCATGTATAATACTTAAGCGAGTATTGGTGTTAGATCATTCATTCATCGGCCTTGTATGGTAGATCTATTCAGTGCTCTTTGTCCTCTTTGTCTAGTCAACGAACATGGAGCATCTTCGCATTTTTCGAGTGAGGCCCTTATTTTTACCATTTACGCTGGTGCTCCCAGCGGTTCAACATCGCCTCGTCGTGGCTGGGAGGTGTTCCTGGGTGCCGGACTGCGATCTACAGCGGGGGATTCATCACTTGGCAAGGTCGCCCAAGCTGAGAATGAGTCCGGCGTTTCCATCAGGAAGCCTAGCTAAGAGTAAACCAATACCAGAGTCCACCCTCGTCCTGGTATCAAAGGCGTATGGTGGCAAATCTCTCTGATCCACAAAGGCTGTGACTGCCTGTCATGGTGACAACCTGGGGCAGACTTTGGCTAGGCTGTCCTCGAGATTCCAGGAAACCACAATGCTTTAGCTAGCAAATCTTCGAGAAATGGAGATTATGCTGGGGTCAGCGCAACCAGTGAGGACCGGTCATTCAACTATTAAGTATCAAGTAAGTATTTACGCTGGTCACAATGTTTAACATTTATTTAATGCTTATTGTTTTTTTTATTCGGGTTATTCTGCGAGAGTTCCAAGTTTTGCTCATATCTGAGCATCCTTGTGTTTGTATTTCACATAATAGCATGCCATAGAAGAAAAAATGAGCTGTAAATTGAGCATTGTGATTTCGACTTTAGCTTTGGATTAGCTGAGTTTAATGCCCGATTTTTGATCTTTCGATCATTTCCGTTGACGAGCAATTGCTGATGGAATCTTTAGAGTGAGAAGACTGGCTGAGAGAAGGGCAGAACGAGCGCCTCAGTGGTCCAGTGGGTAACACGTCAGCCTCCAGAAGGAGCAATCGCGGGTTTGAAGGTCAACTGGGGCTCCGAGTTCTGCTCATATCTCAGCATTCTTTTGGTCATTTTCAGCAAATAAATGCATTCGAAGTGCTCTGGAATGCTTGTGAGGCATCTTGAAGACCGCACCTCAGTACTGTTCCTCATGTTCTTTCCAGTCTTTTGTCTCTGTCGAATTGCGCATTCATGCAACAGTCTGTGCAATGAATACCATTACGAATAGTGCAAGCCAATCCAGCACAGTGGTGAACTATTACCTGAACTCACTTCTGCCTTACCACGAGTGTTTGGGCGTCTTTAATCCTCCGGCCTAAATGGAGATACCTGCCAGTACCCTTATAACTAATTAGGCGAGCTCTTTGACATGAAACAGATGTGGTAGAAGACTGTCATGGAAGTTGAAACCGATATTTTGGAAGGAATTCCCTTTGTTTAGTAATTCTTTCAAACAATACTACTTTTTTCTCAATTAAAAATCGGAATGTTTTAAGAGATTCTATGACACGTTCATTCATTGAGGTAGTAAGTTCGACAATGAGAACAATGCTTGCTCTAGCAAAAACAGCAATAAAAGTAACATTTGAAGAGCGGGAAACCACAGCAAAGAAAATCTCAATGAAAAGGAATAAACCCTTCGATGAGATGAGCGACACTTCTGAAATTCGACATTGTTTCTAAAGATGAGCTACAAGTGAACGACGTCAAAAATTTTTCGAAGCAGTCGCATATGAAGTGGATGCTGGTGAGAAGGGCAAACTGCTCAGCACACAGTGTGTATGTTCGACTATGTGTATGTTCAACTAGCATTTGCTTGTTCTCACTTAACAAACGCAAACGGGGCGGACAAGAAGCTATCGAACAAATGAGCAAGTGGAGCAGATGATGAAGCAGATACCGTCCATACGCACGTATGCACAACACACATATACACACAAACACACACACACACATACACACACATACACACACATACACATGCACACACAAATGACTGTCGTCACCAACAGAAGAAATTCAACAACATGGCAAGAAGTCAAAGAGAGAATAATAGCAGCTAAATGATGTGGACTCTTGATGGAACCCGATTCGCTAATATTGTGTGTTCATGGAATTATCAACGTTGATTCGACAGATTACAACCACATGTCGGTGACCATGGAATTAACGTCATACTCATAGTCAACTTTAATTTCCTTGTAATCATAAATCTACCAAAGTAAGAAAACCTAGACGAAATGCTCCACCTTGTAGAAGAATTGCTTCAAATAGCCGAAATCGGCAATATTCAATACAAGTGTGCGTTAATGCTGTTTCTGTGTTCTGTTGTGAATCCTGGAGACGAACGCGTACCAGTACAGATGAGGTTTCGGTGACGAATCTCAGTGTTGTGTCTGGAATCAGATTTTTTGACCCGAAAACTTCTTTGTTTTCACTTTGGGCGGATCTTCTCTCATTCGTGCCATTTTGGATGACGGAGCTGTTAGTGGGTTGTCTCGAAATCGTCGATGATTTTGATTTTTTAAACCTTTATTCTTTCCTTTCATATAAAGTTTGCCTCTTCATACTCAAATATTAACTCTCTTTCGAATGACTAGCTCTCATGTGCGATGGGTAATCTGAAACTTCTTTAATTCTTCGTTATTAATCTCGCATCTATTATCATCAAAGGTCTTCCGCTTTAGATGTGGGTTCAGCTGCTTTTCTAGATAATTTCGTCTTCTTCACAAATTTCGCATAAAATTGTAGTTAAATTAATTATAGATGGAATCTTATAGTTCTACTGAAGTTATCTGAGGTCCCCACCAAAGGCAATAAACACTGTGGTTTCGATAGAGACATAATTTTCCCAGCCCAGAAGTATAGGACCTTGGCTGGTTAGTATAAGGGTCAAAACAAAAACTAAACTCGTATTGCACGATATCTCTAACCACTGCTCTTCCTATGATCATTTCATCTCATTTAACCCGTGGATTTGGCTGAGCTTATGATTTCGCCTGTGTTCAATGTAACACACTTGTTGGAAACGATCATATGTTACAATGTTCGTTTCAGTCGCCATGTTATGCGATGGAAAGTGCAAAAGATCAGAAGAGTCGACGACAACCAGATATAATCTCGAATGACCAATTGAATAAACGAAATGATCAATAACCA